TAGCCAATCATAGCATCAGAACTCTAAGCACTTGAGAGAGAGTGGGCACCTCCCAGAACATTGTTTTGTGCCACTCCCAACAGAAATACTCCAGGTGGACACCTTCAGCAATCAGGAGCTCTCAGTTGCCCATAGAAAATCCCACCTTGGAGTTTACAAAGACTTATGGGTAGAAAAGCGACACTAAGTAATTTACTACACCACACTTCCTTTCCTGGGCTTATCTTAAAAGTGTAGAGTCCACACCTGGGCTCCCTCACTCTTGAGCATACACAGGAGCCCAGCAAACACGAATATTCTGGTGAGGAAAGCTCGGTTGCTACTCACAAAAACAAGCAAATAACTTCATTTCAGCCAGAAACCTAATTCTAGGGCCAGCCACTTTCCAGGGGAAAGCAGAAGGGTCTGCCCAGAGCACTAGGACCTCAAGGGATGTGGCTTCTCCTTTCTTAGACTTGAGAGAATCCCAGCCAGCAGCACTCTCCATAGCCAGACATGGCAGCCTGTCTCTGAGGTCCAACCCAGTGATGAGGTTGCTGCCCAAATTCTATCCCCAGCATGCTAGTAGTGAGGGGGAATGGTTGTCCCCAGATGTACAGTCTTGGTGATTCTGTGCCCCCAGAGCAGGTGGCTCTGGTGATTGGGAGTATGATTGGGGGTCTGCTGCTGCTGCTGATTGGGGTGAGTTTCTGTCTCTGGAAGAGGCTATGTGTCACCTTCACCTACGAGGAGCTGCCCAACACAAGGAATATGGCCACCTCAGCTGCATCCAGCAAACAGGGAGACAAGTTCTGCCATTTGGGGGCCAGGACCCAGCGAAGCAGGTGAGGCAGGATGTGGGGTCAAGTGGCTTCTTGGCCTTGTCCAAGGCCCTCCCTACAGAGTTTCCTTGGGGCAATGCAACAAAGGCAACGCACTGCCATCTCCCTTCCTTGGGGCAGGGTGGGAAATAGATATGATTTTTGAATGCCTTCACTGCCACACACCATGCTGGGAGCTCTCACAAAGAAACCCCAAGATCCTAACAGCAACTTAGGAGGCAGACATGGCAAAACCCATTTCAGCTGAGAAAACTGAGGCTCAGAGGTCATAGTGACATGTCCAGATAGTACAACTAGTAAGTAGCAGATCAGGGATTTGAACACCGGCAGACTGACCCCAGAGACTCTGGCTGTGAGAGAGGTGTGGGCCTGAAAACTATACTCTTTCCTTTTTTTTTTTGGATCCTGTTGGCTTTTCCTCCTCTAGCCTCTGGCACTCAGCCTTCTCTGGGCTTGGTGCTCTGGAGCTGCACCATTTTCTGGCCACCTCTATGCTGTCTCCATACCTTTGGACTGGCTACCGGGTGTGCCATTTGTGGTGCCACTTTCCCTCCAAGGCCGAGACTGGATACCTCTGCACAGTGGAGAGTGGATCTAGGCCCCACAAGACCCCTACCCATCCCTGGAGCTCGTGCCTAACCCTTCTTGCAACAATCTTGGTGAGTATTCTTGCCAAGTACTGCCCAGGGGATAGGGGTTGTTTGGGCCAGGATGGACCTATGTGCTTTCACTGGGCTTGGCTGCAGAATACAGCCTGGGGTGCCAGACTAGCCCAGAGACCACCCTTTCTGGGTACTTCAGTTTACCAAGTTTCTACTGCATCCCATGCCCAAAACATGTGCTGTTTTGGAGTTAGATCTCACCATGACTCTGTAAGGGAGGACTTTCATTCCATTTTACATATTCATAAACTGAGGCTCAGGAAGATTAATGGCACCTTGCCCAAGTTCACAGAGGTTGTATATGACAGAGGTGGGATTGGAAGCCAGGAGTGTCTTGGGGCAGAATTGAACTGGGTCCTATTCCATGGTTGCATGGCTTCAAACCAGTTCAATCATGGCCAATACAGAGAGAACAGACCCAAATTTGTAAAATGTAGTTTTACCAGAATAATAACTGGAATGGGAAAATCTATGAGAAAAAGCCATAGAATGGGAGACTGAGAAAGCTCAAAAACCATGCTCATTGCTATCAAGTCGATTCTGACTCATTGTGACCACCTTTGGGTTTCTGAGGGGGTAAATCTAATGAAGGCGGTCAAATGCCTTAGGCACTATGCCACCAGAGCACCCAGAGAGACTGAGAAGGGGTATAATAAGTCCTTTCAGGAGCCTTATATGGGAGATTGGCTTCTTTCCAGGACTATGGAAAGCTACGGGAGCTCTGGTGGTGTAGTGCCTAAGACATTTGACTGCTAACCAGAAGGCTGGCGGTTCAAACCCACCAGCCACTCCTCGGAAGGAAGATTGGACAATCTACTTCTGTAGATATATTGTCTCAGAAACTGTTCTAGTTACCTAGTACCACTCTGACAAGAATATACCTCAAATGGGATGACTTGAAAAAACAGGAGCTTATTCTCTCACAGTTTAGAGGCTTTAAGTCTAAGTTCAAAGTGCCAGGCTCTCGGGGCTGGGTGAAAGCCCCGCAACCTGAGCATCAGCTCCACCTCCTGCTTCTGGCCCTCTGAAGCTAGAAACTTTTCTTCACTCAAACAGCTGCTGGCTGCTGAGATTGACAAGCCCAAGGTTGACAAGTAAAAAAGCACAGTCCTGATGCTACCAAACCACATGGCAGGCCATTAATTCAAGTCCATTGAAAGTCCCAAGGTTGGCAGAGCATGGCAGCCTGCTGAACAATGACACAGCTACATTCAAGTGTGCCATAAGCTAGAGAGCATTCCCAAAGCTGCTTTTTATAAATGGGAAGCAGAGCACATCTCTAAAGCAGCTACTCAGCTGCTGTGATAGATCCCACCATGGAGCTGACTGCCAGTCTCATTGTGGGGAATAACTACCACCAGCTGTCCAGCCACTCAACCAGGCCCAGCCAAGTTGACACACAACTTTACCACAGAAACCCAAGGAGGGGTTGCTATGAGTCAACTCAACTCGAGGCAGTGAGTTTGTTTTTGTGTTTGTGGAAAGGTACACACAATTAAAACAATGCAGTTGGCCACTATCTTTGAGCTGGACACAACTGTTTCCAACTTTGCTGTTCAAAGGAGTTGGTTTCTGAGCAACACACACACTGCCTGCGTTTTCTAAGAGGGATTAAGTTTCTAGCAGGACATCAACCTATAACTTTTCCCATTCTGGTTACAGTTCAGGTATACCCATATTTTACAAATTTGGATCCATTCAACTTTTCACTTTCTTGGCCATGACTGAACCAAGAAGAGCCAGTTCAAAGCCCTGCAGGGATGGTGGGTTGGTGGGACGAGAGACCAGAAATGGTAGGAGGTAGAAACCACTTTCTGCTGACCTCTTTGCTCCAAAAACCTCCAAAGAGACCTTTCTAGGAACCACGCAGTAATCAGCTTGGCCATCAAATGTGAAGGGGAAGAAAAAAAGACACCCCTTGATCATGGAAACATTCTCTGCATATCATAGGAAGATGCCAGGCCAGGTTCTGAGAAGGCTCTGGGGATGGCCATCCATCACAGGTGGCAGTAGGGTGTGGCAAGTGTGGAGTGAACAATGGTACCTGTTTTGGTTACCTAGTATTGCTCTGACGAGAAATATACCACAAATGGGATGGTTTAAACAAATAGGAGTTTATTCTTACAGTTTGGAGGCTTTCAGTCCAAGTTCAAAGTGCCAGGCTCTAGGGGCTCGGTGAAAGCCCCTCAACCTTGGGGTCCAGCTCTGCCTCCTGCTTCTTGTCCACTGGAGCTAGAGGCATATCTTCACTCAGACAGCTGCAGGCTGCTGAGGCTGAGAAGCCCCAAGGTTGACAAGTAAAAAGGCACAGTCCTGATGTTACCAAAGCACACAGCAGGCCATTAACTTAGGTCCATTGTAAGTCCCAAGGTCGGCAGAGCATGGCAGGTTGCTGAGCAACGACATGGCTACATGCAGGGTCCAAGCATGCCAAAGGTTAGAGACCATTCTCAAAACTTCTCCTTATATACAGGAAGCAGATCACATACCCAAAGGCAACTACTCAGCTGCTCACAGTAGATTCCACCATGGAGTTGATTACCAGTCTTATCATGGGGAATACTACATCCAGCTGCCCAGCCACTCAACCAGGCCTAGCCAAGTTGACATACAAACATAACCATCACAGTACCTCTGTGACAGGTCTCAGGGCAGGAGGGACAGGCATGTATATACAATGCCTTGGTACAGACAAGGAAGCTGCACTGGAAAAGGTGGGTGAAGTTTAGTCTGAGAAGAAGGTGGGCGGATGCTTCCAGGAGAGGCTAGTGAAGCCAGAAGAGGCTTGGCCAATAGGGGGATGGCCAAGAAGTGGAAGGTGCTTGGAGTTTGCTTTTGTTCCCACCTCTGCCTTCCCTCAGCTGGCTAGACCTCCCAGCCTCTATATTGCAGGGATTGCATGTGTGGTGGGGATCATCAACTCAGAATTGTACAAGTGCCCTGAGGACAAGTGTGAGACTGAGTTCTCTGAAGGCTGCCTGGGGCAGCTGTGGTTCTCAGTGGAGTACCAGCAGAAGGCCGAGCTGCTGCTGGTGGGGCTGATCAAGGCTCAGTGGCTGCAAGCCCCATCAGACACCTGCAGCCCCCTGGTGAAGCTCCACCTGATGAGAGACACATCCTGCAGTCCAAAACCAAGTGTAAAATCGCCAATCCACAGCTTCATCTTCCAGGTAGCACCCATGGGATCAGGAGAGGCCTAGGGCTCTCCAGAAGCCTAGGAAGGAGCAGACACTGTAGGACAACCCAGCCACCCATTGCTGGCCAGGGCCATGCATCCCCTGGGACCCAGCCCAAGAGTCAGGGTCAGGGTCTATAGATGTGGGCAAAGGACAGGCCTGGGGAGTGGGTGTCAGGAAGCAGAAATAGAACATATTTTTGGAACACCTACTCAGTGCCAGATGCTGGCCCATAGTATAGAGAGAAGTACCCCAAAGCCCTAGAGCGGTGTGAGGTTTCTGGCAAGGTTATCCAATGGAAGGAGAGGGCAGGATCTTACTGGAAATACCCAGCCTCCTTGGAGTGGGAGCAGGAACTCTCTTCTACCTTCAGGAAGGCCAGTGCAGGGACCCTGAGCCAGCTTGGCAGAGATCTGGGAGCCTCAGCAGATGACTGTGGCATCACATAAACCAGTAATCCACACCTGCTGAGAGGCCTTGGACAAACATTTTCAAGAGCTAGGCAACAGGCTGGCAGGAGAGTAAGGAGAGGCCAGTCAAGCATTCAGGAAGAGTGTAGATTGCCTTCCAGGGCAGGAACAGGGAAGAGTGGGGGTGTGGGTCCAAGCCATAGGTTGTGCGTTGGGCTCTTCTGTGAAAAGTCACAGGTGGATCTGCTCCCCCATGCTTGAGGCATCAAAAGCCAAGACAATGGCCTTGCTGACTAGCACAGTCTTCTTTGAACTTTTGTACTTATTGTTCTTGACTCACCACCACCAGCACCACCACCCACCCCACACACACATTTTGATCCTGGCTCCTCTATGCTTCAAGGAGAAAGACAAGAACATCAGTATTTATTGAGAAACACTTGTATGTCAGACACTGCTATTGGGAGTTTACAGCTCAGAGAGCAGGCACATTATCCTCATTTTGCAGGTGAAGAGGGTGGGGTGACTTCCCTCAGACACACCCCGCCCCAGCCTGTGCCCAGCATGGTGCTTCTCACACCTTCATGTGCAGACATATCACCTGGGAGCCCTGCTAAAGGGTAGATTCTGAATCATGGGTTTGTGGTAATGTCTTAGCTAGTGCTGCTGTAACCAATACCAGAAATGGGTAGCTTTAAAGAATAGAAATTTATTTTAGCCTCACAATTCTGGAGGTTTAATATCCCAATCCAGATCTTGGCCATGTGGGTTCCTTTCTTGTCGGTAATCCCAGATACTCTTTGGTTTCTTGGTGATGCTCACATGGCATGTCTTCCTGAGTGTGTGCTTCGCTCTGATTTATCTGCTCTTTTTATAACTCAGAAGTGATTAAGTTTAGGATACACCCTATACTTATATGGACTCATTAATGTAATATTTGATTATATTATTGAAAGTGATTACATTATGTTACATCTACAAGTATAGGGTTAGGTTTCTAGCACATATTTTGTGGGGCACTCAATTCAGTCCAAAATACAGCCTTCATTTCTAACAAGATCCCAGGTGATGGTGGATGTGGCTGGTCCATGGACCACCCTCCATAGCAAGTCTCTGGCACAGTCTCACTTCCCTGGTGTTCTAGGCCTTGCTGCTAAGAAGGGCCACTGAAGATGCTGGGGCTTGGGGTGTGTAGATCCTTGGTTGACACAACCCTCACTGGAACAGCCTGTTATACCATCCCATCCCTGATCCCATGCCTGACCCTGGCCTGGGCCCTCATCACCCTCAGGTGTCCAGCAAGAGCATCATACAGAGGGTGCTGAAGTTCTCTGTGTACCATGTGGACAGGCAGAGGAAACATCACTTCCTGGGCCTGGTGCTATTCCCTCTAAAGAACAAGACTCTAGTAGGCAACAGCCAACATATCTGGAGAGACCTGAAGGCTGAAAGCCTGGAGGTAAAGATCACAATCACTAGACAAATGCTACCTGTGTGTCAGCACTACCTTAATCATCCAATAGATGTGGTGAGGTCCACCACTCCTAAACCCCCAAAATGTGCTCAAAGTATACTACCCACCAGCCCTGCAAGTGTGACTCAAGCTGGGTGCCTGGGCCCTAAGCTACATGGGACACCTGGGAAGGGATGACTTGGGGGCAATGAGAAGCCACTTAAGGTTCATTTGCCCTGGTGGTCACATTACTTGAGCAACCTGAAGAAACCATGCTTGGATTCCCATCTAGGTCAGACCACATGAAAGGTGATACCCTGGATGACCAGCCAAGGGAACTATTTACCCTTTGCTTCCTCATTCCCCAGGAAGCACCCAAAACAGGCCTTGGCATTCCACAGACATGTTTTGGATCCTTAGCTCTGATCCATACTTCTGTGTGATCTTGAGCAAGTCCCTTTAACTTCAGTGTCCCCATTGATAAAATGGTGTGTGAGGCCGAAATGAAAGAAGATGGGCTAGGCCAGTAGAACGGTGAGTGACTCTGGGGAAGGTTTCCTTGACTTCTCAGCATGGGGAACTCAGAGAACAGTGGGGGCAATGCCTCCCCAAGTGACCAGGTGCCTTCATCTTGGCCTCTGCAGCCTATCTCTGAGTTTGGAGACCTCCAGTTTTGTCTCAGCTACAACAACTACCTGAGCTGCCTGACAGTGGTTGTGCTGCGTGCCAAGGGCCTCCAGTTCCAGGAGGATCAGAATGTTGTCAGTGAGTCTTCTGCCTTTTCTTCCTCAGGGTCTGGGCTGGAGCCTCACATTTGGCCACCTTGAGTCTGCTGATACACAAGTGCCTCTGAGACCTCCTTCCCTACTCCCTTTCCAGTGAAAAGTTCTGATGTTAGGTCCCTGTTCCCAATTAGAATCCAAGGCTGCACCCTGTGGCTTCCACTAAGGGTTCTACTCCTATCCCTAAGACCAAGTCCTGTCTTGGCTTTGTGACCCTGACTGCCCTCTGTAGTCTGAATAGTCCCATTCCTTTAGGGGAGACTGCTCCTCCCTGCCCTAAGGGGACTCTCCTGTTCACTGATGCACTGATGCTGGAGTGGAGGAACTAGAAGGGGAGAAGTGGAGGCCCTGGCCCTTCCTCACTGGACCCTGTCTTTATCTGGGTCTGCCTGGCAGGTGTTTGTTGGCTGGTCTTGGCATAGATGGGGGTCACTGAGAGTAGGCTGGAATTTAGAATTTCCACTGTCCATTTAAAATCCCTCTGAGCCCCGTCCCCAAAATAATACAGCCATCTGAGCCAGGAGGTGTATAAGAGGCCACAGGAGGCTGAGGACCCAAAGGCCAGGGCTGCCCCCATCTGAAAGGGGTAAACAAAGGCCTGCCTGGGCCCTGGAGGTGTCTGGAGGCTGATGAAGGAAGAGAAAGGGAGATGAGCACTTCCTTGGCCATAAAACATTGTACTAATAATCAGCCCATTTCCTTAAGTCATTCCCTCTGACTGCAGTGATTAATGGGGACTGGCTGCTGGGTGTGTGTCCTCCTGACTGGATTCCACAGATGGGGACCAGTGCAGGGGCTTCCACCACCTGGCCCAGCCCCATAGTCTGCACTATCCCCGCAGGTGTTTGTCAAGTTATCTGTGATGAATCACAACAAGTTTGCCAAGTGCAAGAAGACTTCAGCTGTGCTAGGCTCTGCCCACCCTGTGTGCAATGAAACCTTCAGCTTCAAGATTGAACCTGCTGAGCTGGACACGGCCAGTCTCAGCCTGAGTGTGCTGCAGAGCACAGGGATTGATGGTAAGATTGCCCCCCACACCAGGTCACTAGGGCCAAGGGCAAGGAGAGGCCCTATGGAGCATTTGAGCCATGGCCAATCCCCCATGCCATGCCCTTCAAGGTGAGGACAAAGAACTGAGGGGCTGAGATCTTGCCCAAGGACACAGAGTCTACTGGTGGCAAAGCTGGGATTTCATATTTAGCTTTCACCCAAAGTTGGACTCTGTTTGTGGTACCATCAAAGGGGTTAGGAGGTAGCCTCTACTACCCTCTTCTCAGGAAAATCACCAGGCTGGAAGCCAGTTAATGCCCATGAATGCATGTGTTCCTCACATTTCCCCATGCTTTCTAGACAAGGATCCTGGGGCCAGGGACAAAGTGGATGACAGGTCTGAGTTATCCCAGACTGGTGCCCCACCCCTCTGTGTAGAAGGGCAGAGTTGTGAGGGGTGGATTGGACACAGGAACCAGGCCTCAAGGCCCAGCTTCTGCTGTGGCAGAGGGTGAGTGCACAAGGCTTGTGTTGCAATCCCTCTTGGAATGTATTGGTGGGCTGATAGACCCCTCAGCTCTTTGATGTGAGTGAGGAAGCATACCAGTGGGTGGGGGACAGTATTCAGTGTACCTGAAGGTGAGGATGCAGCTCCTGCAGCTCCAGAGCCAAAACAGGCCCCCACTGGGTTTGTTGGTCCTGTGCTGAAAGAGGGAAGGGCTTGTCTCTTTGTTTGAGGGAGGAGTGAGGAAGAGAGGGAAGTCACTTGTGACTAGGTGACTTGGCTTCTGGGCTTCAAGAATTACTCTGCTTTCCCCTCTGCAGAGAGCCATGAGCTGGGCTGGGTGGTAGTGGGCCCCTACGTGTATGCCCGTCACAAGGAGCTGGAGCACTGGGACACTACGGTCAGCAAGCCTAAGGACCTGGTGCGGTGCTGGCATGCACTTTCCTGCAGCCCTGAGCCCTGAGCCAGGCCCAGACCTCGCCTTCATGCTTGAAGCCAACTTTTACTCAGTAATTCATGACCAGCCATAGGCACGGACAACATCTCACAGGACAGCCAGGCTGCTGAGCCCGGGGAGTGTGAGTATGATGTGTAGGAGCAAAGAGGAGAGAAGCAGCCCTGGCCTGGGTCAGCAGCTGTGACCAATCTCTCATGACCTAGCAAGCCCAGGGAACCTTCCTGCCCCTACACCATCTTGGGGGGCCTGCATGTAGAATCTTGCCATAAGCCCTGGTCCTCTCAGATGCCACTTGAACCTGAACCTTGGACACTGAGAATAAATACTCTGAATACTTAGCAGTAGCAGAGCTGTATATTCTGAATGGAAATGCAGGGGAAGCTGGTTACTTGGCAAGCTATGGATGGGTTGATGCTGTGTCTATACTGTTTTTTGGCTGTCCTGTTCTCTGCTTTCTGTCTGGGAGAGGAACCAAACTGCTTGGAGAAATTATAGAAAATATGCCCAGAGCACTTATTTAATTTAGGCCACGAGAAATATCATAATCCCCCTTACCCTGAGCTGCACATGGAAGTGTGGTCTGCAAGTCACTGGAAACCTAGGCAACACAGCATGCCCACACAGCTCAGGAGAGAACGCTCTCTTGTAATAAGACTCCCAGGCTTCAGAACCTGTAGGGAAATGTAGTGTGCCCTGGCCCACATGCTGGTTAGTGGTAGTTTTCCCTAATCCGTCCATGTATGAGGGAAGGAGAGCCTAGTCTCATTCATCTCTGTTGTCTTTGTAGGTCCCTCGCAGGCTCTGACAAATCCCACTCTCCCCATAGCTGAAAACTTCCCACTTCAGACTTTACAGGTGTTCAGCAGCCACTTTCTATGATCAGTCATTCTGGTTAATGGTGTCTGGCTTCTGGAGCTCTGACTTTTGGCAAGAAATTGTGAAAACATGGGGCTGAGAGCTCCTTCCTTAAAACTAGCAGTTTCATTAAGATTATCATGTTGTGGTCATTTTGCTGTAAAATTCATTAGATGGACGTTCCCACAAATCCTAGTCATCAGCTTCCTATGAAGTTGGACTTCTGGGAAGGGGCAGACATTGTGCTTGTCATTGTTCCTCTAATAGACAGTTTGTATTTTCACCTGGATGCTGTGGAGCTGGGTTTCTTACTTGGCTGCAGTAGTAGTGTCTTTCTTTGCAGATGCAATGTATTATTGTTGTATATATCTACAACAAAACTTTCAACCAGTATCTGTTTCCTCTTCTTATTCAGTGAACAGCTTCAGGAAAGAAAGTCATAAACATTACACTAGGTTTATATCTTTTTAACTTCACCTCTGGTCTTTGTAATTGCATAAATACATAAATAAAAGCTTTATCTGATATTTGGTATGGAGGTCTCTCAATGGCACAAGCAGTTTTTGTTCGACTACTAATCTAAAGGTTGGCAGTTTGAACCCATCCAGCAGTACCATGGAAGAAAGACCTGCCAATGTGCTTCTAGGAAGATTCCAGCCAAGAAAACTCTGTAGAGCACACTTTTTACTGTGTAACACAGAAGGTGACTATGAGTCTAAATAGACTGGACAGCAAGGTGTTTGGCCTTTGTGTTTTGGTCAGTATGGACAGAATACTCATCTGTCAGTCTACCACCCATCTGTCATTTTGTTGTACTGTGGTGGCTTGTGAGTTGCTGTGAAGCTGAAGGTTATCCCACCAGTATTTCAAATACCAGCAGGTTCACTCATGGTGGACAAGTTTTAGCAGAGTTTCCAGACTAAGACAGACTTGGAAGAAGGCCATCCACTTCTCAAAGAATTGGCCAGTGAAAACCTTATGAATAGTAGTGAAACACTACCTTATATATTACTGGGAAGCTTTATGAATAGCCCTGAAACATTGTCCAATATAGTGCCAGAAAATGAGCCCCTCAGGTCAGAAGTCACTGAAAATACAACTGGGGAAGAGCTGCCTCCTCAAAGTAGAGCCAACCTTAATGATTTGGATGGAGTAAAGCTTTCAGGACATTCATTTGCTGATGTGGCATGACTGAAAATGGGAAGAAACTGTTGGAAACATCCATTAATAATGAGAACATGGAATGTACAAAGCATTAATCTAGAAAAATTGGAAGTTGTCAAAAATGAAATGGAATGCATAAAGAATGATATCCTAGACATTAGTGAGCTGAAGTGGACTGGTTTTGGTCATTTTGAATCAGACAACCATATGATCTACTATGCTGTGAATGACAAACTGAAGAGGAATGGTGTGGCATTCATCCTCACAAAGAATGTTTCAAGATCTATTCTGAAGTACAATTCTGTCAGTAATAGGATAATATCCATACACCTACAAAGAAGACCAGTTAATACTACTATTCAAATTTATGCATCAACCACCAAAGCCCAAGACAAGGAAATGGAAGATTTTTACCAACTTCTGTAGTCTGAAATTGATCAAACATGTAATCAAGATGTATTGATTTTTACTGGTGATAGGAATGCAAAAATTGGAAACAAACAAGAATTATCAGTAGTTGGAAAATAATGGCCTTGGTGATAGAAATGATGCTGGAGATTGCATGGTAGAGTTTTCTAAGACTAATGACTTATTCATTGCAAATACCTATTTCAGCCACATAAATGGCAGCTATACACATGGACTTCTCCAGATAGAATACACAGGAATCAGATAGACTACATCTATGGAAAAAGACAATGGAGAAACTCAGTATCTTCAGCCAAAACAAGGCCAGGAACTGACTGTGGAACACACCATCAACTGCTCATATGCAAGTTCGATTTGAAGTTGAAGACAATGAAACCAAGCCTACAGGAATCTATGATTTACTATGCTATGAATGACAAACTGAAGAGGAATGGTTGGTATTTATCACAGCATAGTTGACCATATGGTTGTCTGATTCAAAATGGCCCAAACCAGTCCACTTCAGCTCACTAAGGTCTAGGATATCAACCTTTATGCATTCCATTTCATTTTTGACAACTTCCAATTTCCCTAGATTAATTCTTTGTACATTCCATTAAACCAAGTCTACAAAATATGTTTATATCCACCTGAATTTAGAGATTATCTAAAGAATAGATTTGACTCATTGAACACCAATGGCTGAAAACCAGATGAATTGTGGGATGACATCAAGAACATCATCCACGAAGAAAGCAAACAGTCATTAAAAAGACAGGAAAGGAAGAAAAGACCAAAATGGATGTGATAATGAGAGCTGTGTCAACTTGGCTGGACCACAATTTGCTGTGGTTTAAGCAATTGTGATATGGGTTGTTCCCATGATGGGATCAGAGGTATAGGTTCTGACCAGCCAATCTGTTGAAAGGGAGTTTCCCTAGGGGTGTGACTTGCTTCCAGTATATTTATGGACATCCTGGGAAAAGAGATACTCTTCTGTGGATCGGGATTCTGTCGTGCTGCCTACAACACTCTATGAGTAAACAATCCACCATTCAGCCTGGAGATCTTGGATTTGTCATTTTTGGAGTCAACAGCCAGTATACTGCCTGCCAGCCTTGAGCTTGTCAGCCCCTGCAGCTGCATGAGTCTGGAAAAGCTTCCAGCTTGACATTTGATCCAAGAACTTTGGACTTGCCAGCTTCTATAAGTGTGTGAGCCATTTTCCTAAGACAAATTTCTCTCTCTCTCTCTAAGCTTTACTGGTTTTGCTTCTCTAGAGAACCCAGCCTAACACAATGGATATCAGAAGAGACTCTGAAACCTACTCTTCAACAGAGAGCAGCTAAAGCAAATGGAAGAAATGACAAGGTAAAAGAGCTGAACAGAAGATTCCAAAGAGTAGCTCAAGAAGACAAAGTCAGTTATTATAATGAAATGTGCAAAGACCTGGAGTTTGAAAACCAAAAGGGAAGAATATACTTGGCATTTCTCAAGCTGAAAGAAGTAGAGAAAAAATTCAAGCCTCGAGTTGCAATATTGCAAGATTCTATGGGCAAAATATTGAATAATGCAGAAAACATCAAAGGAAGATGGAAGAAATACACAGTCACTGTGCCAAAAAGAAATGATTGATGTTCATGCATTTCAGGAGGTGGCATATGATCAAGAACCCATGGCACTGAAGGAAGAAGTCAAAGCTGCACTAAAGTAATTGGTGAAAAACAAAGCTCCAGGAATTGATGGAATACCCATTGAGGTGTTTAAACAAATGGATGCCACATTGGAGCCCTTACTTGTCTATTCAAGAAATTTGGAAAATAGCTACTTGGGCAACTGACTGGAAGAGTTCCATATTTGTATCCATTCCAAAAAAGATGATCCCATGGAATGTGGAAATTATTGAACAATATCATTAATATCACACGCAAGTAAAATCTTGCTAAAGATAATTAAAAATGGTATACTGACAGGGAATTTGACAGGTAGTAAATACTGACAGGGAACCAGAAATGCAAGCTGGATTCAGAAGAGCATATGGAATGAGGGATATCATTGCTGATGTCAAACAGATCTTGGTTGAAAGCAAAGAATACCAGAAAGATGTTTACTTGTGTTTTGTTGACAATGCAAAAGCATTCAATTCCGTGGATCAAAACAAATTATGGATAACAATGAGAAGAATGGGAATTCCAGAACAGTTAATTGTGCTCATGAGGAACCTGTGCATAGACCAAGAGGCTGTCATTTGAACAGAACAAGGGCATGGCTTAAAATCAGGAAGGGAGTGTGTCAGAGTTGTATCTTTTCACCATATTTATTCCATCTGTATGTTAAGCAAATAATCCAAGAACCTGGACTATATGAAGAAGAATGTGGCATCAGGATTGGAGGAAACCTCACTAATAACCTTTGATATGTAAACAACACTACCTTGCTTGCTGAAAGTAAAGATGACTTGGAGCACTAACTGATGAAAGTTAAAGACTACAGTCTGCAGTATGGATTACACCTCCACATAAAGAAAATGAAAATCCTCACAACTGGACCAATAAACAATAAATGGAAAAAAGATTGAG